GGGGATGGGCACAGCTGGAATTGACTGACGCATAAGAGCACAGCTCTTTCCAGTTCCAAACCTCAAATGGTTCTTGATCTGATCAGCATGTGCACAGCAAAACACAAAGATCTCTTGAACTCCTGCTTCTACAAGGAATTCAATGGTGTAGTCCAGAAGAGGAACATTAACCAGCGGTAACAAGGCCTACATGTGTAATCAAGCACAAGCAATGCAATATTTCAGTACAAAATTTTGAAATTAAAAAAGTGCCATGAGGTGGGAACCCCTAATATATAAGGAACAGGCAGGAACTGAGAGTAAAGGGAACAGGGATAAATCGAAAGATAAAAGACACGTGAATTTTAACAAATCAATCCACTTACCCTGGGCGTCTCTAGAGTTATTGGTAAAAATCTGAAATTAAAACTATCTGAAAGAATAACGCCTTGAAAGATTTCTTCTCCTTTCTCCCATGACTCGCCTGATTTTCCCTCTCCTTTCTTCTTTTTCGAACTCATCATTTACTTGAAACAAACATGGCGCTTCAATAATCCTAAGTTAGGCTCCAGACTACCCTCACTAACTTAAACGAAAATTTCCGAATAAAATTCCGAAGGCCGGACAATTATCGATCAAAAATCGACAGCTGAAATTGCGCTGTGAACAAAGCAGCGGTTTTACCCAATTCATCCCTTCCACGTCTTCTCTTTGTTTGGTTGCAAGATGGTGGGTAAATTTTTTGTAGAATCTGTGGAATATCTCAGTCATCTTTACGTTATTATTGTATATAATATTTGAAACGAAGACTTAAATAATTTAGTTACATTTTTTATTTGTTTCTCTTTTGTTAAATGTCTTATTTAAGCCTTGAATTTCTACCTTTCAGGAGGGACTATCGGTAGAGCAAATGGGCCGATATGCCAGTCCAATCAATCCAGCCGTATTTCCTCATCTGACCATTGTGCTTCTTTCTATTGGAATATTCTTTATGGCTTGGTTCTTTGTGTATCCTTTTATTTATTGAATTGATGATTTCAGTCATGGATCGTAATTTGTGAGTTTATATTTTAAGTTCAAGAGATGAGAATGCTCTTTGGTCAGTCTGCATCTTGAAGAGGTAAATTGAACTCTTAGTGAGTTTATCCAGTGCGGAGTCTATTCACTGAGATTGATTTTATTCGGAGGCATATTTCTCGTGAACTTCCACATCTCGACAACTGAGCAAATCGGTCGACAACAAACTGACAGTTCTTTGTCACGCAATCTTGAGAATCAAACGGATAAAGATTATTAGTATCACCCAACTAGTGGACTAATGCAAATCCTACATTTTGATTGGCTACGAAAATGGCGCAATCGAGCGTGACGCCTTCTTTCGATTTATTCCCAAATAAATATTTTTTCAACTTGCATTGCTAACTTTATTATTGCCTTTTCTGTCCGACTAGCTGGGTGATGCTTAAAACAAGTAGACCCTTCGCCCTCAAGGGCCACGGGTCTATAGCCCGCAAGGGCTACGTGTCTAATTGTTAATTAGTAAACATAGGCTGCAAAAATGGAAAAGAGTAAATGGTTTCAGTTGTGTATAATTATTTGAACTGTTTCCCGGCCCCTGGTGTTGTGATCTCCAGAAATCATGATGCTTTTTATTTGTACCAAAATACAAAACAGTCTGGCCAATCTCATGTTTCCTAAATCCTTTTGTTAAACAGTACATGTATGCTTATCCCCACTGGGAGGCATCCTTTTAGTCACCACTGCCTCTGGCCAGCTCTGATACTATAGTCTCCTTTGAAGCAGTTGTCACAGTCATCACGCGACACTTCTCCCCACAGAAGCATTGCGTGATGAACCTAACAACATCTGTAAGGGAGACTTGATACTGTAAGCAGGTAAAAAAGTATTTATTTTTGGCCAATCTTATATGTGCAGAAGCATGTTGATCGTAGACTGTCAAATTGGAACTGGCTGCTCAAGATTTTAAGGTCTGAAGATGAAAAAATAAAGTTAAGTGAAAGAGGTCATAATTCTCAAAGCTGACCAAAAGGATTGCAGACTCCGGTGAGAATACAAGTACACGTACTTTGAGATCACAAAATCAGCTCAAGCCACAGGGTCCAATTTTTGGTTCTCTCTTATTGGCTCCGTTTATGCAAGCAACATCCAAATTGTATGATTTTTGTGCTATCTGTGATAGTACACAGATCCTTGTAGAGTTGCTTCATCAATGTCAAATTTGTTGACCTAGGAACGATTTCAAAATGTTTGGACAATTTGAAACAACTAAAGATTGACTTGTTTTCTTTTTTGAATTACATCAGTCAGTTGAATCCATTCCATATGGCTTGAAAAGGATATAATAATCTTACAAACCTCACCTCAGTACGTACAGATATCTTGTTAATCAAGTGTGGGGGCCAAACTGAGAGAATATTGACTTGGGTCTTGTCAATGTTACAATAAAGACCAAGGGCTGATATTCTACTGTACCAGTATGGTATTACGTTACTTAAAAAGGTTAAAAATCCCACAATCACAGATTAGAAAGACACCAAAAACTTCAAGCACACAACCTGATTTAGAGCCAACTTGTAGTGTGTACTTACGTCCGACATTTTCAAACAAAATGAGGAAAAGACAGTAGGAAGACAATAAAAAGAATCTCTTTCATCTAAGTTACTCTGTGTACAAATGTAAACATAAAACTTCCAGAAAGAGTGCTCACGTAGGATTATTTGGGACAGGACCCAGTCTAATACTTGGAGAGTACTAGACCAGCAATGGAGCAATCTGATTGTCTGAGTTTAGTTAGTAACCCTCTGAACCATCTTAGTTGTATAATGATTTAAGTTACAGATCCTTTTTTTAATATCCCTTATCAATCTGTGGAAATGAACAAATGAACAAAAGTTTAAACACAGAATAAAACTTAGCGCAACTTAGCAGACAATGCAAGATTTATTTAGCATATAATTCAATTTGTTATAGCCAAGCAAGAGGGCATCAAGCTTTCTTGGACATTGAAGATTATGATGAAGTTCTGTGTTTTTGTAATACTTTCCTTAATAGTTACCACAGCTATGAGGTCACATCCACCAAGTACAGCAGAGACATCTACAAAGAGCTGCTGGTGTCATTAGTTGCATCTCTTTTTATGGGATTTGGAGTGCTCTTCCTGTTACTCTGGGTTGGAATTTACGTATGACAATAGGAACTTTGTAACTATAGAGAGAGAAGCAATCTACATGAACAATCAACTATTCTGCAACAACTTAAGAAGAACTGTCGTGCTAAGCATGGCATAAGTTCTCTGTGGACACTTGTGTTTTAACAGAGAGAAATTTCCTTTAATGTAATAGTAATAAAAAAAAGTTATTTGTCTTTGCTAATCTTGCTTAACTGGGCTTGGTTGAATCTTTGTAACTTGTGTTCATAGCATGGGAAATAAGTTAGCCAGCGAGCAGTCTCTCTTTTGCTCGAAAATCCATGGGGAAGAATGCAAAACAAGTGAGCATGTAAGCGTGACATGCAAAAGGCAAGTGACAAAGCCAGGAGTCGTGAGTAGCACGGGCATTGGAAGACCTGCTCTCTTTCCCACAGAATTTCAAGCAAAAGAGAGACTGCTTGCAGTCTAACCAGAAATATGAGCCATCAGTTTATTGATATTATTTATCACGTTATTGACTCAATAGCCTGGGTTAACAGACATGGTTTTGAGCTCTACTTCTGGTTGTATATTTTGAGGAGATGTTAAACAAGGTCTGCATTCAGGCTAAATGGAGTTGTCATGGCAGTCACTGTTCTTTGTTCTTAATTCTCTATTTTCCAATTGTCCCATAATGCACTCTGTTTGCCCCCCAAATTTTACATAAATTATTGTTATGAAATGCTCTTGGGAATATGCAGACCTCCCAAGAGTATTTCACAACAATAGTTTATGCAAAGTTTGGGGGGGCAAACAGGGTGAATTGTGAGCAATTGGAAAATAGAGAATTGATGGTATTTCCAGCATAAACTGCTGGAAATATTTGGCGCTTTATTTGAAGGCTAAGGCTCGTTGTGCACTGCTTTCAACTGGCACACAGTGGAGAGAACTGTTTTAATCTTGTATATTGCTTTCCAACTTTATTTGACTTCTCTACGGGAGAAGTGAAACATTCTTTCCTTATTTTTTTTACAATACAATATGCTGTACAGTATTCATCTTTTTGTTGCATGGCAACAGTTATATATACACAAAGACACACATAGTATTTATCATTTCTGATTATCCGGTTTCACTTCAGATGAAGATGATGTTATCACGAAATCTCGACAGCTTATTTCCGTGCAATGTTCCTCCAGCGCTTTTGTGTTGAATATTTTCATAGTTGTAACCTTGCTGAAAGGTCGTTTAGTTGGTATTTGTTCACCTATTTGATAAAAACGTTGAAGAATTAAAAACTTGAAAAACTTTCATGATGAACTGATTGAAGAACAATAGAATCAGATTTCATGATTTATTGTTGTCAATAGTCGGCAGTCGACATGAACCTAACCCGATCTGTGTCTCATCTTGTACGTACGCGTTTGGAATTCCATGACTGTTTTTACAGGTGTCCGTCTCATGTGTTGTATTAGAGCCAAAACTTTCTCTGAATTCGTTAGCCGAGAGAAATAAAGGAAACGTTGCTGATCTAGGAAGCTTGCAATCTAGGCTTGTTGATATGGTGGGTGACCGACGCAGTCTGTATCCTGTGTAGGAACATCGGCAGTCTGGGCCTGGGTATTGCGTTAGAGCAGTGGATTGCGTTACATGGGAGGGTGAATGGCTATGTACTGATGGTGGTTGGGCAGAATGAGCCCGTTTCTGGACAAAATGATCAGTGTTGCTGGCCTTTTGGAGTAAACTTGGATTGCCCGTATTAGTCTGTAGTAGCCTTCGTCTTTGTAGTCCTATTGGCGGCGTTTCTCGCACTGTGTGGATTCCGTTTAACTGCTTTACAAGCGTCCTTTCTTCCTTGTGTATATGACGGTTTCTAATGGTGTGTTCCAAGTGAATTGATCGTAGCCTGTCCTGAAGAAGCCTGTCTTCTAAGCTGTTCGAACGGCGTACTCTAGCCACACGATTGGAGAAGCACGAAGGAGGATCTCTGTTGAAAATTGACAGATCTCCCTTTCGCTTGACAGACATTATTCAATGACTCCTTTGTCGGAAATCTTTCCACTGTAGATTATCGAAAGATAGTTTCCAATGTTCCTCTAAAGCAACGTATAGATATTAATCCTGGTTTTGAAGAAAGATCAAAAGCAAGCCTTTCTTTGTTGAACGAAGAGGTTCGATTCAATGGAATGTCTTCCGGTGTCTTGAAGGCGTTCCACGACCCGTGAAAGCGTAGGCTCAGTTGAAATTCAACATTTCACGTCGTATTTCAATGGAACATGAAATATTATAGAGAGGGTTTACCGATCGCAAAAACCCTAAATGTTGATCGACCTTGAAATAGTTTGTTCACCCCTGTCAGTCCACGTTCGCTTGTTTGAACTTTGGAAGGCCTTGACAAGATCTTCAACAAAATCCGTCATATCACCCTCGAGCAAATTCTTTCGGCAGTGTTATCGTGTAACGGCGTTAGTAGGTGTGATTTAATCAATCACTCAGCATTTCACGACTTTCGACTTAAAAAAGAAATGAGGCGCGGAATAGGCAAAAACTTCCGTGTTTGGCACCGATGCTCATTAATTTTCGAACTTGGCGTGTTAAAAGGGTGCAAAATTCTCCGGTAATGATCTCGACAATGTTAGTAGAAGATTATTAGGTGGAAAGACAGTTAAAAACCAATCACAAGAAATTTGAATCAACCACAATCAGTCAAAAATAAACAAATCCTTATATAAGATATACAATCTCCACAGGTTTATTGTCGACTATCACTCATTAGAAATATCCTTTTACCTAAATCCAGTTTGGCAGCCGGCTCTGCGGGGTTCCTGCTTAAAATTCTTCAGATTCTCTTCGTATCCTTCTCCATGCACGATCGATCTAGCCTGCAGTACAGGCGGATTAGCTGGTTCTAGCGCGATACACGAGCCCGTGCACGAAGCGCGAGGGGAGAAAAAATTTTCTCATCTCGCGCTTTGCGTTCGTTCTCGCGCTTCGCGCGCGCGCTTGTGTATCGTGCTGGAGCCCGCTAATCCGCCTGTTCTGTAGGCTACGATTGATCGGGCCACAATTTGCCTGATCTGCTGGCTTGTAATAAGGGATTAGAACAAAATATATACTGTATGTGTATAATCTCAAGGTCAGCGTGCCGCTCGAACAATGAGGTATTCATCAATGAGTCCAATGAAGACTCTGGCTGGGAAGTTTGTTCGTAAATTGCCCCTCTAAACATGTTATCTTCAGACAGCCAATCAGAGGGCCGAAAAGCCCAGTCACTTTTGGCCTACGAACAGGCTCCCGGTGAGCCCGAACCGCCCCGATCGCTTAGCTCTCCGAATTCTTCGGTTTGGCACTCGCCGAATTTTTTTTTCCGACCTCGCCGGAAGCCTGTTCGCAGGCTAAGTCAATTTTGGCTGCCATTCTTAGATGGTCGTTGTTTTTGCCTTGAGCCAAAATACAGAGTCCATCACTCTCGTCACAGGCTCACAGCATCAATTTTTCGGTAGTTTAATTTTTGCCGCCAAAAAATAGGGTTTGAGATACATTTAAACGTTTACTTTCAGGTCGAAGAAACTGTTTAGTACAACAGTTATAGGGGATTCTTGCTGACGTCATTGCTCACTCATTAGTATATCGCTCTGCGTGCAGAAGGCACCATGTTAGATGAAATGACTCCAAGCAATTAAAAAGGCAGTGAAACGTAGTACATGATGGAAATTTTAGCTCTTTGGGTGTAATATTAAAGAGGATATTGGCTTTCAAAATAATCATGCAAAATTTCTGGGTGGTAAAAGTGTTAATGATCTCGTAAATTCCTTGTAATTTGTTGTTGTTGTTGTTGTTGTTGTTTCTAACCCGCGTCCTAGAAAAAGTATTAATATATCAGGCTTAAATTCATTGGCAGAGTTAATCGTACTATGACCTTTCAATATTCAACCCTGATTTTTTTTGTAGCTCCATCAGAAACTGATTCGCTTATGCTAATGAGACAAATATTGTAAACAAGGATTCCCTTTAAAAGCCGAAACTCAGGACATCTCTAAATCAGGCCTTCGACTTTACTCGACGCCCTAAAGGGCTTTATTTGTGTACCGCTGGTGTTATCCATGATGAGGAGGTTCCCTAAATTGACCTCAGCTTCACAAATTTTGGCTTGCGTGCGTCTACATTTCCCTTTAGAAGTCTGCCGCAGGCGGTTACCATTTCAAACGGACTCGCGAGACGCCGCAGCCGCAAGTTGAATTTGCGTAAGTACTTGCTTTGAGTGACCAAACGGACTCGCAAGTTTCCTCGAAAATACATGCAAGTCGCATAAAAACCTATTTCAATGCTATGGGCTTAGTGCCGCCCGGCCAAAATGTAACCATCACGCAAATGGACGTCACTCAACCTGCGTTAACTTGGGTTGCGATGCCAAACGGTGAAAAATTTACGTTGACTTGCGAACAAATTTGATCAAGACCGAAGTGAGCGCAAGTCAACGCAAGTGCATGCAAGGCCTGGCCAAACGGAGTCGCAAAAAAAGCCAGCTTGGAAATGGAAAACGTGTTTTGACACCGCTGGATGTTTGTTTCAAGTTATTTTTTATGGGCTCATTTCTATGTGTTATATTTAACACGTTATGCAAGCTCATTCAATGTCTCTTAAGAGGTTGTAGCCCACAGTTTATAACCGGAATTTTAGTGGAGCTCCGGCAGCCCTTCAGCGGAGCACCATAACTATAGGAACAGAACCACGTGCATGCATACAAATAGAAACCCACGCAACTCTTTTTTCATGGTCAACCTGGCTAGCGGCATGGTTCGCGGGCGCATGCGCCCAACGACGACGACGGCGTCGCACAACATGGCGACCATACCAAGTTATGCAGTCTTGGTTTACAGCATGTCTTTGAAATTGGACATCCATGTTATGGACAATTGACACCTGTCAAAGCATGCTATCCCCTGACCAATATCAGGTGCCCATATTGCGTTCAGGGTAAGAGTTCATGAAGGTCATGTGTTTTTTTAAAGTTGACCACTGACCAAGTATTGGCTTTCGATAGGGTCGAAGGTTCATGTCAGGTTAATTTTTGTATTCAGGGCAACGATCAGGGCCAGGTTGTTCGGAAAATGGTTAACGCTAACCCAGGATTAAAAGTTAATCAAAGTATATATTTTTTCTTGCATACAAATGTTTTTCACTGCTTTTGGGTCATGGGCTGCATTCTAGTTTGAGACCCTTCAATCTCAAAACAGAAGGCCGAACAATATAAAAAGAAAACCTCACAAAAACTCAACAACGTTGCAAACCTCAAATCAAAATTCTCACTTATTCTCTAATAGCTTAATCAGCCTTTAAACAACCCGGCCCAGGAGCTCTGCTTTTAGGCTTGGTTAAATCTTTATATTATCTTGACATCTACGCAACAGCTACCAAGCTAGCTAGCTCCATAAAAAGCTATCAGACCAGAAAATTTCAAGATGGCAGCCATACTACACTAACATGGCCGTTCTTTGGACTTCATCCTCTTTTCAAACCATGAAAGAAATGGAATTCTACTTTCAAGAAATCAAGTTCCAGGCGAGAGTAGACTCTCTTGATATAGAGACAAAGACTATCAAGGTTCTAAGAAAAATGACATTAAACCTAAGATGCTGGACTTCGTTTCAAGATGGCGGCCACATTAGACTAACATGGTCAATGTTTCACATTGACCATAACTTAGTTAAAAAGTTGAAGAGATGAGATTCTAACCTCGAGGGATAAAGTTTTAAGTGACAGTTTTATATGTTGATATTCACACAAAAACAGCAAGGTTAGTACATTAAAAGTTATTAGACCAGAAAAGTTGCACTTCGCTTCAAGATAGCAGCCATATTAGACTATCATGGCCGTTGTTTGGACTTAATCCTCCTTTCAACCCGTGAAAGAAATGGGATTCTAATATCGAGAGATGAAGTTCCAGGCGACAGTACACTGTCTTGATGTAAAGACAAAAACTCGCAAGGTACTAAGAAAAACGTTATTAGAGCTGAGATGATGGACTTCGTTTCAAGGTGGGGGCCATATTAGACTAACACTGCCGATGTTTGACATCATTCTGTTTTTCACCCGTTGAAGAGATGGGATTCTTCCATCGAGAGATGAAGTTTTACGTGACATTTTCATATTTTGATATCCACACAAAAACTACCAAGCTACTACATAAAAAGTTATTAGACCAGAAAATTTACACTTCGTTTCAAGATGGCGGCCATATGAGACTAACATGGCCGTTTTTTGGACTTCATCCTGTTTTCAATCCGTGAAAGAGATGGTATTCTAATATCGAGAGATAAAGCTTGAGGTGAAAGTAGATTGCCTTGATGTAAAGACAAAAACTAACAAGGTACTAGGAAGAACGTAATTAGAGCAGAAACGTTGCACTTCGCTTCAAGATGGCGGCCATATTAGACTCACATGGCTGTGGTTTGACATCATCCTCTTTTCAACCCGTAAAAGAGATTAAGTCCCAGACGAGAGTAGACTGTGTTAATTTAAAGACAAAGACTGGCAAGGTACTAGGAAAAACGTTATTAGACCTGAGACGTTGGACTTCCTTTTAAAATGGCGGCCATATTAGACTAACATGGCCGATGTTTGACATCAGTCTCTTTTTCACCTGTTGATGAGATGGGATTCTACCATCGAGAGATGAACTTTTACGTGACAATGTTATCTCTTGAAATCCACACAAAAACCACCAAGCTACTACAAATTTAAAAAACGTAATAGACAAAGTTGCACTTCCTTTCAAGATGGCTGCCATATTAGACTTTCATGGCTGTTGTTTGACATCATCCTCTTTTCAACCCGTAAAGGAGATGCGATTCTAATATCGAGAGATTAAGTTCCCGGCGACAGTAGACTGTCCTGATGTAAAGACAAGAACTAGTAAGGTAGTAGGAACAACGTTCTTAGACCTGAGATGTTGGACATTGATTTAAGATGGCGGTTCAATTTGGGGAGCTACAGAGGCCCGAAGGGCCGCCCAGCGGAGCACCCTAACTATAGGAACAGAACTACATGTATGCATTGAATTAGAAACCCGTGGAACTCTTTTTCAATGGTCAACACGGCTAGCGGTATGGATCGCGGGCGCGTGCGCTCAACGACGACGTCGACGTCGCGCAACATGGCGGCCATACTCCAGCTAATACGAAGTCTTAGTTTACAGCGAATGTCTTTGATATTTGACATCCATGTTATGGTCAATTGACACTTGTCAAAACAAGGTATTCGCTGACCAGTAATACGTGACCATATAGCGAGCTCAAGTTTATAGCTCATCGAGGTCATGTGTCTGGCCAAGTACTTGTTTTCGATTGGATCGCGGGCTCATATCAGATTAATTTGTTGTAATTATGGCCTGGTTGTTCGGAAATTGGGTTAACAAAGCGGGATCAAAAGTTGACCGAAATATAAATTTATCGTCTATACAAGTGTTTTTCACTGCTTTAGGGTCAAAACTTGAGATTATTCAAAATCAAAACAGAAGGCCAAGAATATAAACAGAAAACCTTACCGCTAAGTTACAAAACTCAAATGAAAATTACCGCTTATGCTGGGT